TATATAGTTGTTGTTTTTTTTTTTTTTGCAACTGCAGCTGCATTCTTTTTCCTTTTGCAACTGCAGATAATGTAAGCATTTTAGCAATTAATACGCCAATATAGTATAATATTTATATATCACGGTTTTATAAAAATGGGGCTCGGTGATAAGACAGAAATATGTCTTCTTCTTGCTCCAACCATTATTTATTTTGTTGTATATATGTGAAAATTGTATTTATTGTAGAAGGCGAAATAAATATATATAAAAAAAAAAATTTAAAAAAAAATGGTCTTTAGATCAAAAATGCACTGCGTAACCTGTAAACAAGAAAACTTCTACCTGTACCTTGTAAACTTGTATACCTTGTAAGAGAGGAAACTTTCTTAAATTATTATTCATATAAAAAAGAGTGGATAATTTGGCCAACAAGGAAAAGCTGAAAGCTGTTTTTGTTTTAATGACAACAGTAAAAATTTATTTTAATAAAATTGTGTTTTTTTGAAAGAGTTTTACTTAAAATTTGAGTTGTTATTTGTTTAAATGTTAAAAATTGTGTTCGAAACTAAAATCCTAATGATGGTAACGTTGAAAAAAATACCGTTTTGATATTACAGATAAAAGTTAAACTTGACTTTATCAAGTTTAACTTTTTTCTGTAATTTCAAAATGTAAATCAATTCTAATGAATTTTGCCTATGACTCTCACTGATAGAAAATAATGAAATGATTAGCGTAGCTCTTCAAGCTTTTGATGCAACATGGAATTGTTTTAAAGCGGCTAATCAAATTTATGAAATTATCGCAAAGGGCATAGGAAATGTGAATTCATCATTAACGATGGATGTGCAATTTTTTTTGTTTAATATTCGGTAAACAAAAGATGAAAAGTTACATGATTAATCTTTAGGAATATTCACTCAGCACGGACGGCAACTTGGAGCGGTTTTAACCTACCAGCTGATTACTCTGATTCCGGAAAAAAAAAGAAAAAGAATTGAGATATTTAATCAACTTTTTGAGATCAAGCTAAGATTGTGATCAAAGCTTCTGGTAATATTAAAAAACTGCAAAAAAAAAAAAAAAGATTATTTGTAATTAATTTTTTGAGGAAGCACATTAGTTTGATTTTGAAGAACTTGATCTGCTTGACCGGGTCAATCTCAAAGAATATTTGAAGATAAGATGATGAAAATAAATGGCAATTTTAAACTCCAAACGAAAAAAATGGTAAATGCTTTAAAAAAAAACATTGGTACAATCTGTATCAAGATATTTTACAAAATTGTAACTTGGCATTTGGTTTTAAAAAATGTGAGAGAAGCCACTTTGCTGAAATAAAAAAAACTATAAAAAATACGTAAATTTGATGCACTTTCTGCTGATCTCAACTGACCATGCAAAGATATTGCTCTGATATGGAGTAGTACGTACAATATGGTATTAAATATGTATGGAAAACGTGCTACATATGAAAATATTGGGACTAATCGAAATTTTTTTACGCTATGAATTTCAAAAACCAACCTTTTTTTTCTGTATTCATTTTTCTGTATTTATTTAAAATTTTATGACATTGTGATTTTTTATTCAAAAAAAAAAAATTATTTCTATATAAGAAAAAAATATAATCATAATAAAAAGAATTAATTAACTCCTCGAAAGTTATTCAAAAAATTCTTAAAGAAGGTAAAGATTCTTAAATAATACTTAGGGTTTAAAAAATTATAATTTAGGGAAGAGTGGGGAGAAGTGGGGCATAAAAAAATATTTCTAGAATAATTTTAATATCTTTTTTATATAATCTATGTACTACACCAAATAAGTTAAAAAAAAATAAAACTTTGGTTTCGAGTACTGATTACATCTCATGATATTGACAACAGATTATAATAACGTAAATATATTTTTGGTTTAAAGTGAGACAGGTATGTGGTGAAGTCGGACAAGAGAATAAATAACAGTATATTAAAACAGTTATTAATTAAAAACTATTAAAATTGTGAACGACGTAATCTTGATCAAAATATTCAAGAGGTTTCCACAAATAATTACGCAAAAGTAGTATGGGAGAAACGGGAGATCAATTAATTTTTACTGTCTCACCTCATTCCTTAAAAAACTTTAGGGGTAAAAATGTGGTTTTTACCACACGCAGTTCTAAATAGATGGGAAGAAATCTTATTTTTTAAATTAGATATTATTCATTAAGAAACTTACTTAATAGGAACCTTTAAGATGTTTTACTTCTACCCATTTTTCCCTATTGCTAGGTCAAGTTTTAACAGATTTGATAAAAAAAAATGTTATATACTTTTGAACTTCTTTATAAAATAATTTATGCAAACTTTCAAAATTATTCCTAGGGGAAATAATGCGTGAAGGACTCTACCACGAATTAATGCTTTTTTTTTAAAGCTTCTTCATGTCTTGTTAAGTCGCATGTTTAGACACTTTCCATCGGTAGTCTAAATCCACCGTTATTGTGTTTTGGAGCCAGTTTTTCGATTGTGTTCTACCTATAAAGTTCTGTACTAATTTTATTTTTCTTTTAGCCCTGTCATAATGGTTGTTATTTTTAAATTGATTCGTCTCTGGAACATCATACTTTAAAACATGTCACCTGTCATCTCTGGAACATCATACTTTAAAACATGTCACCTGTCATCTCTGGAACATCATACTTTAAAACATGTCACCTGTCATCTCTGGAACATCATACTTTAAAACATGTCACCTGTCATCTCTGGAACATCATACTTTAAAACATATCACCTGCCATCTCTGGAACATCATACTTTAAAACATGTCAGCTGTCATCTCTGGAACATCATACTTTAAAAGTTATACAAGAATATCAATCCTCTTTTCCTCGTCCAAGCTGGTCAGCTAAAGCAAAAATAACACACTGTAAAATGAAATACCAAATGTGTCAGAGAACTTTACAGTTTTTTTTCATACTTACTGAAGTAAAGTGAATTTATCATGAATTATGATGGTATTTTAAATGTACTAAGATCTTTGATTGGAGCCTGAGTTGCCTGTGAACTTTTAAGGAAGAACAATTGAAAAATCACTATATTATGTTGCATGTTGAAGCTTTGTTTTTTAATGGCACTGAGGTACTTGTTCTAGTTCCCGATCGTTACAGATACAATGAGTAAACCATGAACTTTGCTTCATGGTGTGCACAAGGTTGTAGAAATCTGACGTTTGAAAAACATGCTTCGATATTTAACCAGTTGACAAAAATACTTGTTATCACGTTTGCCAAACATTTTTGTTTTAAGAGCCGTCTAAAAACGAATATTAAATGTCTTAAAAACGTCATTTAATAAAGACAAGAACATTTCAAGACCTATATATTTTGGTCATAAAGACATCTTGTGTTTGCTGAAAAACATTGTATTGGATTGGAGAATACTTGCATTCTTTGAAAAAGTGAATTAATTTAAAAACATTTTTACTATACAGTCTTCTCCGTTTGGCTAACGCTCTCTTGTTAACCCACACGCTAGCAAATAGTTTGGGTAATTCAATTCATGTATTTAGTATGTTTAGCCATGTATTTGTTAATTCAATTCATGTATTTAGTAACATTCGACTTAAAGGAACTAAATACAAAAATCTCTAACTGAGATAATGATATATAAAATGAAATAAAATAAATTTACAACTGAATAAATAAAATCAATATTTTTAAACCGTATTTTAACACATAAACACCGAAAATGCCAGTTGGTTCCTTTTTTGTAAACGTGAAAAAACTTTTTTATGCCGTTAAAAATTCATGATAATTCAAATTGTCGGTTGGTTCCTTTCTGTTAAATGTCACTTGCAAGTTTTTACTAGACACAAGATAATTTGTATCGAGTCTTGGTTAATCATCTAGTATTGGTGCAATACTTTACAGTATTAATATCGAGATCAGTGAACACTAGGTAATTGGTATTGATTCTTGGTTTATCTTGATGATGAAAATATTCAAAAACTGATTGACAACCACCCTACAACCAATTAATTCTTTAAGAATTCTTCATTACTTGTCTCAAGCTCCAACAGTAATAATGCTGATATAAAAATAACTGGTGTTGGTGCTAAGGATTAGGAAGGGCCTATATCATATCACGCACACGAAAATACACCTATGGTATAAGCCACATGTAACTGAACTACCAATCCTTTCAGGTGCTGCAAACTCCACCGATCTCTGCATCATCTGAAGGAGTGTTTTCTGCTTTTGACCTTGTCATTACTGATTGTAAATACAATATTAAACTGGCAGATAAACTTATTTTTATGATGCAGAGCTGTACCGCTTTGGAGAATTATTTCAAAAAATGGCCCATGGAGCCAGAAAGTGAAAGTGACATGAAACAGGTTTATCTTTGCCAATATTAATAGAAGAAAATCTTTAAATACCAACAAAAGTACAACAGAGAAAGAAATATAATTGAAGAAAGCCAAAGTCTTTTAGATGGCTCAATAAACCTTAACTAAACCTCTAAAAAGCAATTTTATATTGTATTTTGATATTTGCAAATGTATTATATTTTATAGGGCTTCATGATAAGATCCTCATGATCTTCTAGAAGTCCTGCCGTTGTTGCTGCCAAATGTAAATGTAAATATATATACTCTTATGGTTATTTTAACTATTTTTAAACGGCGAAATAAAATCTAAATCTAAAATAAATAAATTCAAAAAATCATACTTTTTTTTTTTTTTTGTGTCTTATCAAGACTTTGTGACCATTCGATACCTTGCAATTTTTTATATTAGGGTATTGTATGTATCGGACCGATACTGATGGTATCGAAACTAGTATGTAAGCAATACACAATACGAAACCATCCTTCTCAGTATCGACTATCACGAACCGATTATTTAGTATCTAGTTTTTACGCGAAACGATCACCGGACGTTTTGTTATAGATATTTTTCCGGTTGACGGACATCCAGATACTTCGTGGTTGTAACAAGTTTTGATTGGTTGAAAAGTTTTTTCATCGCGTAAAAATAATCATTCAAGTGGCGGGAAAGCTCCAGTTATCAAAAACTTTCTAGTGAAAAAGAAAATATATCGTTAATTTTAAAAATAAAACTGTTTCTCCAATATAATGGTTAAATTAAGAGGCTCTCGAAAAATTGCTGATGAAAATGTTAAACAAAAGAAAATTTCATTTCCTCAAAAAAAATCAAGAGAAGTTCATACCAAAAGTGCTACTGATTTAGATAAAAAACAAACAATAGTTTCAAGGAAAAGAAAGATTTCATCAAGTATATCATTTTTGACTTTCTTTATTTTTTTTTAATTATGTAAAATTTATTCAAAAACCTAATTTTTCTATGTTTAGATAATGAAAATGTTGATATTTTTGAGAAATCACCTGTTAAGCATTGTAACAAGTCACCAGAATCAAAAATTTCTGGAGTAATTAAAAAGTCGGCAATACCACCTATTTTAAAGTCTCCTCTTTTGGATAAAACTAATAAACAAGTTGATTTATTATTGTTAACTACAACAAAACGAAAATTATCTCTTGTTACCAAAAACAACAGTACCGAGTTATCACAAATTGGTATGGTGATGTTTTATTATTAAGTTAAGGCTGTTTGATAATACTTTTAATTTATTTAATGATTTGTAATAAAAATGTTTAATTTTAAGCAAAAACAGAAACTTGCAAGTGAAAATATAATTTCTTCATATTTGCATGGTCATATTGTTATTTAAAATAAATATTTGTAGTTTTTATTCATAAATATTAGATAATATTTAACATTGCAGCTTAAACTTGCCATTCTTTAACCGTGTCAAGTGTTATAACAACTAAAAAATATGCTTTATAAAAAGTAAACCAGATTTAACATGCACTGAATATCGGGAATCAAATTAATGCATTTAACCATGGCCTTCTATAATAACAGGCCTTGACATCGCGCGACACGCCGCAAAAACTGAAGGCCCATTAAACTTTGATTGCTTGTATATTTATATAAAGTCTAACTAATCGCTTTTAATACTATGTCAATACTTTCTTATTCGAATCTTTAATAAAGACAAAATTATAATAAGAAAACTAAAATCGTTTGAAAAATGTTCATACTTTAACATACTTAAAAACGTTAAAAGAATTTTTTTTTTTTTGCTTACAGAACATAACTTGAAATAAAGTAACATCAAAAAATGTCAAATAAAAACAAAAACAAAGTCAATTCATTAAAAAACTTTTTAGTTTTATGTATCTCTTATTATGTATCAAATAACTATTTTTAAATTTAAATACATCCAGAGACATAAAACAAAAGGAGAATTAAAACCTGAAATTCAAAAAAACTATGACAGCTTTAGTATTTTTGCTTTCGATTCTCTGCTACTATTAGGAGTAGAAATTAGTGCATAATTCTTCAACAAAATATTAGAATATATTCTGCATTGTCTCTTTGTTATTTTAAATCTATACTTGGCTGCTATGAATTGAAACTGAGTTACACAAAATGTTCTGCATAAAGGTCCAGTGGCACCTTGAAAAAATAGAAAACAAAATATTGACCATTGGACGAGAGTATCAGTAGGAATTTCAAGTCCACCTCTGTTTAAGCTATTCAGATAATCTCCATATTCGTTATAATAACTGGTTGTATCATCATAGATATTTATTTCATTTTTTTGCACATAGCCAGCTATGTGAACGATAGCTAATAATGTCGATTTATTAACCAAGCTTTCAAGATCATGCAAATTATCCAGCAATTCTTTTTCATCAGTAGAAACATCTCTGCAACATATGTCACAAATATGACCATCAACACCATTAACAGGAATGTCTAGTTGTAATATCAGTTTAGTATGTCGAATATGTATTTTTTCAAGTACAGATTTAGCATTTATGAAGTATGTACCCCCAGACCCCTGACGAAGCTTAGAAAATACTTTTTCAAGAGGATCTGTTGAAAACCAACCTAATAAAACATATTTGGATCCAGTACTCAATAACGTTTCCACAAGATCAATGAAACCATAGCATGTATGTTCTATTGCAGTACTGGTATCATGTGTAAGCTGCTTAAATCGCTTACCTGTAGGTTTCATAAATTTTGCCAAATCAGCAGTATCTCGCAGCAGTTGTAACTGTTGATCATCAATTGAGTGTATTTCTCCGCGCAATTTATTTCTAAATCGAATTCCAGCACCAGGTGCTTTGACATTAACAACACTCCAAAAAGAAATAATTTTTTCAATAAATACAGCAGTACCTTCAAATTCTTTATTTTCAATGTCTGGATGTGTTCTAAAAGCAGCTACTGTTTCTTCACAAAACACAGGCAAACAAAATTGTACAGACTGTCTCTCTATTGGTTTTGGATAAACTGATTTAGCTGTTAGTTTAGAAAGTTTTAAAAGGCTAATAGATTCAGTTTTATACAAGGTTTCCAAATCACTCCACTTGGCCAAGGTCAGTTCCCCATTGTGCAAAAAACAAAGTTGACCAGTCTTCTCTGTCAACCAATAATTTCGTATACATTTTAGGAGATGGACATAGTCATACAATAAATATGTACCTGATGTTGTTAACCATGGTTTACTTTCAAATGTTTTAAATGTTCTGAAAAATTGTTGATTTACCCGGTTACCATCAGTGATGATTGCAAGTGTCTTACTGTTTTCAATAATATTTATTGCATCTAGAATTTGTTGACATTGTGCGAATTGAAATTCAGCGGAAAGATTTGAAACTGGTTGAGCTCTACATATAAATTCTGGTCCTCCAAAAAGACATTTAATCATAAATGATAAAATTGTTGTTGCTAGCCTCTCTGGGTAGTTTACTGAATGACCAAACAACGCGCCTCTTTGGTAAAGTAATGAAGCTTTTATATAAACTTCATCAATTAAAATAATGGAAGTTCTTTTTAATGGATCTAAATACATAAAGATACTATTTATGAAGTTTAGGTCCTCCATAGAACTAATTTTTGAGGTCAGTCGTGTTAAAGTGCGTATACTGGGCAACTTGTAGTCAACACACAAACGATCATATAAACTACGTCGCATAGCAAAATACTCATACGCTCTACATATAATATCTGGAGTATATAATACTTCACCAACACTAACTTTTCTCATCACATTAAGGTGCTCAAATAGAATATTAGATTGATGAGAACTCTCTTTATGTTTTAAAAATCTAACTGCTTCAAATAAAGCAGATCTTGTTTTTATTAATTTTAAATTGTTTGCAGTTAAAGATGAGATATTGCAAGTTGTGCCATTATGGTAAGCTGTGAATGAATAATTATCGAAAATTTCCAAAAGAAACAATGGAACTCCAAGTTTGTACATTTTTGACTGTATATGCACACTATTTTTGTTAAATTGAAAAACAATAACATCATTGCTATTAATGAAAATAGATTGAATTTCGGCGAATGAAAGTTCATCGTCTTTTAGAAAAACATTAAACTCGTCTGGAAAGACATTTCGAAATCCTCTTGAAGTTACAGTTTTTCTGACTTTATTCGATGGTGTTGGTAAACAACTGGGCGGAATATTTTTAAAAACAGATGGTGGGTTTAATGGTTGTTGTTTTCCATACTTGGTTTCAAAAGGTGCATCATCAGGCCAATGCAGTCGACATACTGCTGTATAGTCAGAAATAGAGAAATTTGCTCTTGGGATGACATCTCTCCATTTTTTTCTTTCCTCTGGATTTTTTGGGAATTTATATATCGATATTTTTGATTCAGTCGAGTGATAGTTTGACTTGCAGAGAGGTATGCAGCATTTTAAAGGCATCTTCTACTACTACTCAAATAACTTTATATGAGTTTAAAAATACTCAAGCCAGTGTTATGAAGTTAACTTTTACGTCTTAAAGTTGCGCTCTAGCCAAACCTAACCAATCGAATTTGAAAAATCTGCTCTAAAAGCGCAAACTAAATCTTTTTTGTAAAGTTAAAAGAGGAAATGTAAACACAGTATTATAAATCGGCCTCTAGTCTGGCAACTTTATAGCGCGATGTCAAGGCCTGTTATTATAGAAGGCCATGCATTTAACCTATGAGTGTGACTAAAAAAATAATCTTGCTGTATATCTGGTACAACAGTTCTAATCATAAACTGTCAAAACTCTAAAACAATAAATATTTTTAAAAGCAATTATGTAATGGTTTTTTTCCACCACTTTGTTGTCGTAGTTTAATATTAATAATAACATGGATTTTACCTTTTATGAAATGTACATTTTAATGAATAATTTACATTTTTCAGCATGATTTTGAAACAATATGTTTCAAAATCATGCCGTCATTATTGATGAAATGTTCCATTAAACAATATAATTCTTTATTTAGCTTGCTGTATTTAGTGTTGTCTTGCAGCTAAAAAATATAAATTTTAAATTGCTTTGTAATTTAATTAAATCTTTGCAATTATTTAAAAAGTTTCAAGTATTATAAATAATTGGCTGATGATATCATTTAATGTATTTATAATTGTATTGTAAATAATAAATAATTGGCTGTGTTACTTAAGATGATATCATTTAATGTATTTATAATTGTATTGTAAATAATAAATAATTGGCTGTGTTACTTAAGATGATATCATTTAATTACATTCATGAATGTGCATTTGTGATTTAGGAAATCCATATAGCTCAACTCGACTTCTTCTTCACACATCAACACCTGATCGATTATTATGTCGTGAAAAAGAATTATCATTTATTGAAAAATTTATAAAATGTACATTGCTCGGAACAAATCCTGGAAGTTTGTATATGTCTGGAGCTCCAGGTACTGGCAAAACTGCTTCATTGACTAAAATATTGGAAAAGTTACAAGTGTGAATTTTAAATTTTTAAATGATTATCAATTAAAAAATTGTTTTATTGATTATAATGATTTGTTAAGATGTGAAAATCTTTCTAGGAAACTCATAAATTTGTGTGTGTATTTTAGAATTTTTTAATAAATAACTTTATTTTTTTTAGGTAACAGAGAATTTATGTCAGATTATTTTTTTAAATTGCATGTCAATTAAAGTATCACAAAGTATATTTGTACGTCTTGCTAATGAATTATCTACAACTTGTAAATATAACTCAAAAAATGCATTTAAATATCTTGAAAATTTTTTTGTTGGAACAGGTTCAAAAATGTAAGTCATCTGTTTTTCTTTCAATCTAGTAGTTCCTGTTTTTTAAAACTTGTCATCTGTAACAGGAAATGGATTTTTTTAGATTACTTGTTCTTGATGAAATAGATCAGTTAGAGAGTAATAACCAAGATGTGTTATACAAACTATTTGAACTACCTTTTTTACCCAATTCTAGATTGACATTAATAGGCAAGTTTTTTGGGTTTTTTGATACACAATTAAAATTTGATTTAAAAAAATAATAATTTTTGATAAGAAAGTTTTTTTTTTTTTTGGAACACTGTATATATATATATATATATATATATATATATATATATATATATATATATATATATATATATATATATATATATATATATATATATATATATGTTTTTTGGAATATTTTTTTTTTTTTTTTTGGAATGGTTTAAAAATCAAGGCTAATTTACGTAATAAAAGATGTGATGAAAATTAGTAATGTAAACCAGTTTTTTTGATAAATTAGTGTTTAAAGGTTTATTAGATTCTTTAAAATTTTTTTTTTTTTAATTTGATTACAGTTTTACGTAAATTATTGTTTTATAATTAGACTTTATGTACTTATTATTATCAACAACACAAGTAAATGACTTACATTATTCTATTTGTTACTATTGATATTAAAAAAACTTTTTTTAAAACTCTTTTAAATTACATTTTTTACTTTTTGATTTTTATTTAGGTATTGCGAATGCATTAGATCTGACAGAAAGAATTTTACCAAGATTACAAACAAAAGGATCATGTAAGAAAAACACATGCATCTTATGATCCATCAAAAACAAAAAAAAAATTTTTTTTTTTTTTTTGATTTTTTTTTTTGGTTACATTCAAGGGGAAAAAGTTATTAAATAATGTTAATCTTTGTCAATCTTGACAATGCTTATTGCATTATCAACATTTCAACAACATGTCATTAGCAAGTTTTGCTATTGCATATCATTCACGACTTAACTGACAACTTCAAATATTCACAATGACTATTGCACTCAATTTTTTTATTTTATACAGTTAAAGACTGTGTGTTGGCCCTCCTTGGCCAACACACAATCACTTGCTATTATGTTGCAAGCAACTCTTTGGTTAGCAAACTTGCATGACAAACAAAGCTCTCTTATAAAACTCACAATCAGAAAAATCTACCAAATTGAATAATTCACCATTATTATTAATCAGTTTGGTACACATATGAAGCACAAACAGCTCAAAAATATACAATTAATTTTTTGATCTACCATGTGATGCACCTTATATGCAATTTAAGGTGTGTTTAATACATATATATATATATATATATATATATATATATATATATATATATATATATATATATATATATATATATATATATATATATATATATATATATATATATGTATATATATATATATATATATATATATATATATATATATATATATATATATATATATATGTGTATGTGTATATATATATATATGTGTATGTGTGTATATATATATATATATATATATATATATATATATATATATATATATATATATATATATATATATATATATATATATATATATAATTTAGCAATAATTTAGTATTAAAAGTAGGTGTATGAACATAATAAATTTATCACAATTAATACATATTTAACACAAAAAATAAAATACAAAAAAAGGACAATATTGTCTTAGTTTTTGTATAAAACATGTAAAAAACAAAAAATGAGTAAAATGAAAAATACATTATGTGTCAAACCAATGGCACACACACCATTTCAGATGTAGAAACGTACCTAATACTCAATCTTCTTACTTTTCTTCATAACCTGAATGCAACACTTAGACATGGGCAAAATAAGCGTTTCAAGCAAAGATTTGGGGATTTTATTCAATATCATCTGGATGGCTGTTTTCAGTTACGTAAAGTTACTGTATTGTTTTCCATTTGCATACGAGACATGTTAACATGATGAGACTAGTAAACCCAAATGTTTTCAATTGGATTCAAGTGGGGTGACAGCGCTGGATGATCAAGCAACTGGATACTACACTCCGGTTTTGCCGTATGTATCGATGCGTTATCATGCAAAGACAAAGGTATGTCCTTAGTTGGTATGCCCATATGGCATTAAGTAATCAGAGAGCGTAATGATATAATCTTCTGCTGTTCGTTTCCCTTCTAAGAACTTCAATTCAGATAATGCAACCTTGAAAAATGTACCCCAAATCATGATACCACCACCACCATTTTGTTTGGACAAGAAATTCTCGGGCGTTTTTCGTAAGTCGGGCAAATAATATTAATATCCATCAAGATTAAATTTCTTCTCATCAGACCAAATAATTGAGCCCCAATCAGGTAAACAAGAAAAATGTTTGTATGCCATACGTTTTTCCATGTGATGTTTTTGCGTCGCTGGCGTTAATATCATGCCATCTACTAAAATTCATTCTTGTGTTACTCGTCATTTAATTAAGTCTCATCATTCTTCTGTGACTGTTCTTAAGTGGTCTAAAAACTCTTATTCCTCTAGTTTTTTTCCTCGAACATCAGTTTTTTGGAATTCGCTTCCTTCATTTGTTCTTTTCAAAACATACTTAATTTGACATATCTATGTTATATAATTTTTAAACTTGTGAAATTCTATGATTGAATGATTCTATGAATTAAAGAAAAGAAATTAAGTTTTATTAAAAGTAGAGAACAAGAGATAATCAAACCACGTGTACAAATCAGTACATTTTTGAAAACTCCCATACCTGCCAAGTACTTTATGGAAGAACCCTTAAAGTTTTATTGGTTTTTTTTTTTTTTTTTTTCCAAAATGGTTACAGAAATTCAAAGATTAGAAATCCTTAAAGCACGATTTATTACTGATAGGGTAAATATGTGGTCTTTTACCTAGCTTTGGTTGTTACTTTGGAGATAAATTATTAAGTCTATTGTTTTTTGCTTGATTTGGTTGTTACTTAAGAGATAAGTAAATAAGTAGATAAGTCTATTATTTTTTGCTTTCTTTGAACTCTTAAAATTCGTTATCTGTAAAAGCATTTTTGGAAATAAGAAAAACTTCATACTTATTAAACCCTGTTGGGGTTTTAATGAACTATATTGTGCAGGTTTTATTGATTATAGAACATTTTTTTTTTTACTGTCACAATAAATAGAAATTTGTAAGACCAATACAGAACATATTTTTGTCTTTTTTAGTTTAAAGTGTTGCAAATAAATTTTTCAAAATATTTGCTTTAATGATTGCTATTGGTAGAAAACATTTGCTAGATAATATTATTATTACCGTTATTATTATTGCAAAATTCTTATTGTTATTGCAAAAAAAAAATATTTTACAGATTTTTTTAATTTCAAAACGTCATTTGAAATAGTTGAATTTTTTATTATTTTTATTGACAATTTATCATATTTAATTGCAGGTTTACCCGCGTTACTTCAATTTACACCATATTCTATGCCACAAATTGTCTCTATTATTCAAGAAAGGTTGGGTAAAGTCGGTGGTGATATTATTGATCCTATGGCCATCCAATTTTGTGCACGAAAAGTTTCTTCTATGAGTGGCGATATTAGAAAAGCATTTGATATATTAAAGTATATATTGATTTAAATTCAATTTTTTTATATCTATTCTATCTGTATGCGTGTTATATCTATCTATATTGTGTTATATCTTGTTAATTACTTATTTGTATTTCTAGGCGAGCTATTGAAATCGTAGAGCTTGAAATTCGTAAATCGCCGGCTTTGGAAAATAAAAAAGTAAACATATCTCATGTCTCTGCTGTTTGCAATCAAATGTTTAACTCACAATTAGCTGTAAACAACACGTATGATGGTGGGCTACCTTTGCAACAAAAGTTAATTATATGCACTCTAATGGCATCATTAAAAGATAATGCAATAAAGGAAATTTTGATTTCAAAAGTAAGTTCAGTTTACAAAGTTTAGTTTACTCGGTTTACTATTTAAAAGAAGTGATTAAAGCTTTCAGTTTATTAATAACCTTTTTTTTTTTTTTTTTTTTTGTTTAGCTGTACGAATGCTATTGCAAAGTTTGTAAATCAAGGCAAATTAACTGCTTAAGTGAAGAAGAATACAATAACGCTTGTTCTTTGTTAGACTCCCAAGGGATACTATCACTAACAGCATCAAAAACAAAAGACTTTCGTTCTCTTAAGGTTTGTGAATTTTTACTTTTTTTTATAAATTTAATATATTTAATGAATATTACTTAATCATCTTGTATAAAAATATATTATTTATGTATCTATAAATAAAGTACATACATTCATATTATTAATCAATAACTAGTAAGTAGCAGTTCTTTACTTTAATGATAATTCTATTTGATAAAAAGGTTTCTCTTCGTCTTCAAGAAAATGAACTAGAGCACGCTTTACAGGATAAAACACTGATGTCTTCGATATTAGCTTGTGGAATACCAAAATAGTTATTTTAGTCTTTTTTTTAATATATTTGTTTTAAATATTTTTAGCCTTAAAAAAGCGGTATAATCTAACATGAATGTATATAAATTAATGTATATTTTTCCTCGAATTTTATTATTTTTTAAATAATGTTATTGATATATGTATTATTTATACTGAAATAAAGAGAAATTTCTTATTTGATAATTTTTAATGACCCAGTATCTGTTGTACGTGCGTATATGCGCACTCAATTGTAATTGCATGCAATTATTTGCCTTAAAAGAAAGAACATTAAGGCGATACAAGTTACTTAAGTGATTACAGAATTACTCTTACCAACATTAAAAAAGAACATTAAATACACAAATTACACGTCGTCACAGTTATAAAAAACTGGTTTATTGTCTTTTGAAAATATTATGTATTTTAAAATATAAAAAAATTATATATATATATAATTATTTTAAAACTTATAAATCACCTCCTCCAACCCCCGTGCGTATTTATGGGTGTTTCTTACATGTATTCATATGTATGGATTTTAACTGAAAAATAGAGTTAACAAAAGTAAAATAAAACGATGTCTCAACAGTAGGGTTGTCTCAACAGCAGGATTGGGAAAAACCCAACCCTACTGGTTTTTAGCTAAATTTGGTACAAATCTTTATTAACTTAGTTTGATTAATTTATAGTTGTTTACAGGGCTGTGGAGTCGGAGTTGCGACGTTTTTAGCGGAGTCGGAGTCGCTAAACAAAATCGCGACTCCGACTCTAATAGTAAAACTTCTCGGTATTGCACGTGCACGTACAAAACATTAAATTTGCCTTTTCATTCTAACCTTGTTTATACTAAACCTCAAAGAACGTTTCATAAATTTGTCAAAAAAATTTTATCTTATCGCGTAATATTTTTTAAAGAATTCAAAGAATTTTACAAAAATTTTGCTTTGGAGTTGAAGTCGGAGTTGTGCTCAAAAAAGTTCAACAACTGGAGTCGGAGTCGTTACTTTTTTTTTACGACTCCACATCCCTGGTTATTTAAAAGTTATTTTACACGTATATTGTCTTATACAATATCTTAATAATCAGATTGCATTTATTTTTTTTTAATATGAAAATATATAATAAATATAATTTTAAAATGAAGTTGTCATTTTAAAATTTTAGTTGATTAAAATATAAGTATTAGGTTGACCGGAAAGTAATGTCGTTTTTGCGCATGTTGACATTCGATAATCGTTGGCCAGTTTATTGCGTATCTCGAACACGTGCACAGGTTATTTTTATATTAGTGTGACTTGTTTACTTCTAAATTATTTAAAATTAAATAGTTTTCTTTGCAAATTGGAGTGAAATGGCATACGAAATACAGGAAGTGCATCTTCGTCATTGTATGCTTTTTGAATTTCGCAAGGGTAATAACGCTACAGTTGCGACTAAGAACATTAGTGATGTTTACCCAGGTTCATTAAATGTTCGCAAATGCCAAAGATGGTTTTCCAAGTATAGATCTGGGAATTTTGATCTTTCTGACGCCCATCGACCAGGAAGACCAATGTCATTAGACAACGACGTTCTAAGGGCAGAAGTTGAAGCAAATCCATGCCAAACCATTAAAGAATTGTCGAACACCCTTAACCAACCTTGGTCGACCATCCAAGAACATTTACACCAGATAGGAAAAATCAGCAGAGCAGGTGTTTGGGTCCCCCATAACTTGTCAGTGCAAAACAAAGCCAACAGATCAACCACGTGCAATGCATTGATTTAACGGCACCATGCAGAACCGTTTCTTGATCGTTTGGTCACTGGAGATGAAAAATGGGTCCTATACGATAATTCAAAACGCAAAAGGCAGTGGCTCTCCCCAAATGAACCAGCACGCAGTACTGCAAAGCCGGGATTACACCCCAAGAAGGCGCTCCTGTGTGTTTGGTGGAGCATCCGCGGAATCGTCCACTTTGAAGTGCTTATTCCTGGACAAACTGTTAATGCGGACCTTTATTGTCAACAATTGGATCGAGTGAACCAAGCTCTAGTTGAGAATTACCCGGCTATCGTCAACAGAAAAGGTGTCATTCTTCAACATGACAATGCAAGGCCGCACTGTGCACGACGGACGCTTGAAAAAATTAATGAATTGGGATGGGAGGTGCTGCCCCACCCTCCATATTCACCTGATATCGCCCCTTCAGATTTTCATTTGTTCCGATCCTTACAGCACTTTCTAAGTGACAAAAAATTTCAAACTTTGTACTGCTTAAAAAATGGCATCTCCAGATATTTTGATGACAAACCAATACATTTTTTTCGATCTGGTATAGAAAGTTTGCCCGCTCGATGGCAAAAGGTTGTGGAAAATGAGGGTGATTATATCATTGATTAAAAATAAACATTATAAAAAAATTATTTGTTTTAATTTGACGTAAAAATACGACATTACTTTCCGGTCAACCTAATAGATTTCGCGTTCTTCAAAACTATTTTGGACATAAATATATCTCAGAAAGATCATTAATGTAAATGAGAAACAGTATATAACCAATGGTCTCACCTTGCGGTACCCCTGAAATTACTGAAAATTAAAAAGACTGTTGGCCTTCGATAATGAAAGTTTTCTTGCAGGCAGGAAAATAAAATTCCGTTAAGCACTTACTAAATGGTTTAGAGAGAATTCTGAAGAATACTTTTGTATGACTTTTACAAAAATTTGTCAGGACCACAAGCCGTCGAAAAGTTTAAATCTATAAATAGCTTTAGCAACGGAGGCCGAAATATTTGGAATTGTGCAATTAGTTAAACTGTTTAATTTTGTTTTAATATTACTATGGAAATAAACTAAAAACTTGTGTCATCAGTAAATACAATAAAGTTTAAATATTTATTATTTAAATATTTTTAATTTCAAATATTTGAAGCTTTGCTTAAATCATTAATATATATTAAGAATAGGGATGTACCGGAATTCTGGCCGGATTTTTTTCTTTTAGATCAATTCGCTTTTGGCTGTAATTAAATTTTTTTTTTTTTTTCTTTTTTTTTTGACATGTGACGCAGGCTGTGTAAATAAATCAAAAAATCATTATTCTACAGAGCAATGAAGAACTATGGTAAACCGAAGTAAAAAATACAAACGATATTTTTGCAAATGTATTTGCAGTACTACTATTTCTGAAAATAAACTTACATATGTATTTTTAACCTAAGTTTATCTACAGTTCTTTATTTCTCTGTAGGATAATGGCGCTCTCGGCCTTTGGAAGGTAAATAATATTTTAAAAAAATGATCAAATGAAGTCTATTAGTTAGTTTATGCTTCCCTTTTATATTTCCATAGCTTTATTTTATAGTAGTATTATTTTACAGAACTTTAAGTTTTTTGAAGTAATTTTGACAACAATAAACCTTTTTAAAAAGGAATAATAATAAAGAATAAAAAGTTAAAAAAGTTTTGAAAAGTATATTAATAAAAATGATCAATCTAACAATAGATAACCAAAGATAAAAACAAACCACTGTAACGCATCGTGTCAAATACTCAAACGAAACGCAAATTAATTTATCTAAACAATGTATTGACCAAAACTAGTATAATTAATACAGCTGGTAGATTTTTTCTAAATCCAGAAATGAGCAGAGAGATTATAAGTGTACTAAAAAAAAAGGTAGAAACTTTACTTTAAGGCAATATACGCGATATACCCTAAGTAAGATATACAACTTTCTAAGGTAGAAAATTATATTAAAAATAATTATTTGTCATACAACTTTTTGTCATAAATTTTTTATCGTAAATTTTTATCTACAGAAGGTTCAAAATTATACCCAACGAAAGGTATATCACATATCCTACCCGGTAGAAATTTCATAAATTTTTTTAGAGTGTGGTTTTTATCCAAGTCTCTGTGAGACAAGATATTTTAAATCATAGTTATATTGACGCAATGAATATTTAAGACTATCAGAGTTTACTTAATACTTCAAATGTTTAAATTCAAAATCCAAAAAAAGTATTTTCGTTCTGAAAAAGATATTGAATATATTTAGAAATTGTATTGTACTAACGTTTCAAATTTTTTTGAGTAAAATCTCCAAAGCTTTAGTTGAAAATATCTATCTTTAATAGCCGTAACTAGGTTTTGATCAGTCTGCAATAGGTCCATTTCTTTTTTTAATTTTCGGTTGATCTTTTCCGTAAGTTGTTTAACACTACATTTATCTTTATCGCTTCTAGTTTGCCTCTTTTTTTACGACTAAGGAGTATACTGTTTAGACATAAAATTGTTACACATTAACTATAACAATTGCTATTGCTACACATTAACTATAGCTAATGTGTAGGAAGCATTCAAAGGTACGGATCTAAATATGCAAAATAGACAAACTAAAACCGTAGTTTTCTTTTTTTTTTCACCAACAGTACACAGCAGTAAAAGTTCAAACATATTTTACAAAACTTTGTTAGTTTCTATAGCAGTCTATTCCAGTGTTTCTTCTGAAATTATAAACTTAATTAATCGGCAATAAAGTGTTATTGATAGCCGTGGATTTTGCCAAATGTAATTAAGACAATTACTCAATCTCAATAGAATAAATGCAAATACAACAGAAATTAATCAGTAGCATAGAAGTTCTGAAATCTTTGATAGTGGGTATTGTAGTCAAAATTTCCGTCTCATCCCATTTGTTTATTCTCATAAGTGACAATTTAGAAAGTTCATTTTTTACCGTCTTCCTCAAATACATACACAAAATAATGCATACACAAATGCATACACAAATAAATACGAAATTTCGTTTCTTAACATTTTGGTCTAATCGTTAATACTTCGATTTGTTTTTTGGTGCTGTTTTCATTTTCATCTCATTATTATGGCAATGTCCAGCTGTTTCTGTAATCTCAAGCTCAAAGGTTCGTCTTTGCACATTATGGTATCTTCTTTATCATCGGTTTCAGATGGCAATGCTGTATTTTCAGCTTGGACGGATGAGAGCCACTGGATAAGATGCACAATTAAATTTACCAAAGCAGTTTTAGTTAACCGATCAAATATGATAACTGATCCAAAATTTTTCAGGGCTTGGTACCCATTTTTTGAAAATATTGTATGAGATAAGAGAATTGTGCTTCTTTATTTTATTCTTTTAATAAAAGAGATATTCATATTGTT